TGACATATCTTTTGTTTGCTAATGTTTTTTAGTGTCGTGTAACAGTTTGGGAGGCATTCCTATTTTGGACTACTATCAATGTTCATTTGTGCCCATCTCAGTGTATGCGTGACAGTAACAATTTTGTAATCCAAGTCTAGTCCTGAAAGACTGAACGTACCGCCGTAAAGACTTAACAGGGGGCAGTTCTGAAGCTTGTACAAGGACAAATCCGCACGTTTGGCAGTAAATAAACTTGTGGCGTTCTTGCAATTGGAACAATCCAAACATTGAGAACCCTGAAAACAGTCTCCCTTTCAGATTATCCAGGGCTTCTCTGACAGGATTTCTTAAAACACTGAAGAACTGCAGACCCAGGTTGTTGCAGCGGTGGAGAGAAAGATGTCGAGCCTTGATCTGCAGTGATGATGAGGTGAGGTGACAGAGGTGAAGGCAATGCAATGCAAAGGTGGCCAGCGAAGTAATATTCAGCTGCGCTGAAGCCATTTCTGAGCTCTGACAGCCCTGACAGGGAACACACTCATACATATGCAAGTCTGAAAACATTTCATACATCCACAATTGGATACAGTTATTCAGATTCGAGAATAATCTTCACAGACCCCGAGGGCCTCCTTGTCACATGCATACGCATGCACACCTGAGCACATCAGTAAGCGCATTACTTGATGAGACCATCCACAATGGGGAGCCACTTAAAAGCAGCCACCCTTGTAAACAGCACAGAACAACCTAGATTCTGGAAAGAAAAAGACTAAATATAACACTATGCTGCAGAGGCAAGCCACGCCTCCTCCTCCGAGCTGATGGTCCATCTCATCTGGGTGAGTTGCACCAGATGTGTCATGCAGGAAGGTGTTTTGGTACAAATCAGATGAATAAAAGAGCTGTAGAAGCTCTGAAGTATTTGGCCACGATAGTGGAGTGAACAGATGGGACTGAGACACGAGATCGCAAGGATGGCTGGTGCAGCTCCGATCTGGCATCAATATTTCTTAGTGTGCACTCACGCTGTTTCGGCAGGAAACAAGAAACTCGTTCGGCTCGAGCAGTATTGCAGCGGCTGGCTCTTCATGGCAAGTTATCGGTGCCGGTAGCTCCGCCCCTAAACATTAATTATGCAGCTCAATGCAGCACTCCGAATCCCTGCTGCAGCTCTCCCTCACTACTATCCTCAACCGATGCCTCCCTCCCTCCCTCTCTCTCTCTCTCCATTTATTATGAAGATGTTGAATTCAAACATCGGAATACATTTGGATGTGAACTTTTATGAGTGCAACTTACACGTTTTTTGTAGACAGTGAAATGAAACGTGTTTTGTCACCAAAATCTTTCTTCCTGCTAAAAGCTAAGCATTTCTTCCAGAAAGTGCCCAAAATGGCCTTTGAGGTAGCTGATGCTCCGCCCCTTCTCATTTTATCCAGCCTGGTAAATTTAACATAATCCCCACTGGAAATTAAACCATATCCTCCTTCTGGTGTGATTAACTATCTGCGTCTATTTTTGCCTTTTTCTCCAGGCATGCCGCTGCTGCTTTAGTGCAAATCAGTGGCAAACAAAGTGTGATGTCCTGTACTGAATATCGCCTAACGACATCTCTAAGGCGATGTGCATTGGACATGGCAACTTCTAAGGGCAGCAAATGTGACTGGACCTTGAGCAGAGAAAGTCCACAATACGCCATGTGAGCCAGTCGCATCAGCAAATAGAAGGAAACCAGAGAGGAGATATAATGAGGGAAGCTCTCACGCGGCGCGCGGCCATCCCGCCCCCGGGCAAGCAGTTGGATGCAAACGCGGCAGCTGATTATGGAAGCGGAAACAAGCTTCTCCGCCGTTTCCTCGAGCTTTGACATGATTATGATTCATTTCACATCGGCATGCGTGTGTTCAAGCGCCTGCATGTAGGGGTACTGGTGTGTGTTCGGAAGAAAATGTTCTTGCCCTGCCAAAAACTGTACAATTAATCCGACTGAACTTTGTGTGGGAGCCATCCAGGAATAGTGCCTGACTTGAAATGAAACAAATGGCCATTTTTTTTCTCACTTCGTACAAGCCCGCGTGAGATGAGGGTCGCAATGGATCATTATTTCTAATTTGCTACACGGGGTTCTGCCTTCAAAATGTCAAACCAGTGGTATACAAACACCAACTTTTAAAGGGTGAATGTTGTTTGCAAGGCGTTTGGAGCGCGTTCAATAAATTGCCTGTCCGTGTTTGCAAAGATGTCACCTCTGGAACAAAACCAAACTGTGAGGCAGATGTTGCTAATGGGGAAAAACATGGCCAGGGAAGGTGGGATCATTCGGCGGGAATTGGGTGAAATTGTTACACGTTTACATCATCCAGGGGGGGGAGAGTGCGCTACTCCCTCTTACTACATGACAATGCGCTAACTGGCTTTTCTTGAAAGAAAGAAAGAAAGAAAGAAAGAAAGAAAGAAAGAAAGAAAGAAAGAAAGAAAGAAAGAAAGTGAAAAAAAACAAGCAGTGCTGCTCCTTTTGAAAAGGACCTGACCAAAGCTCTTCGTGAGACTCCTGCAGCAGGGAGCCCGCCACTCTGTGCATCTCTGCTGCTGCAGGGGTCTCTTCAGTGCACGGAACCGGATGGCGGAGCAGAGAACGCAGCGGGGGCTGGGCACCGCAATGTGCTGCAGTGCTCTGAGCTCCGCGATGCACACCCACTCTCTGCTCTTGCCTTTCAACATGTCTCCAGCTCTCTCGCTACCTCTCGCATCGATTCGCTTTCCCATATCTTGCCTTTCTGCTTCAACCTCTCTCTCACATCACGTTCTTTGCTGTTTTGTAACATTTTCTCAAGACTTGAAGAAGCCGCATCTTTTGAATTCTGCCTTAAAGCATCCTTGACTAATGTGCCATTTGTGCACACAAATAACAATATTTGCGGATGTTTATGGGTGTAGGAGTATAGTGTATTCCTTACACTTCAATGTCTTTATGAAAGAATCACATTTCTTTAAGTGTGTATTTCTCTTACGGACAACCTAAAATAGTAAGTCATGTTCAGATCCATGCAATAGCATTTGAAACGCATTACCTTTTACCCTGATGTAAAAGGTTTTGCGTTTCCAACTGTAGCTCATCCCGATGACTTCAAGCTGACCTCCCCATCATTTTGCAGGATACCCGAGCCCTGTCGCACCGTCTGGGACAGAATGTTTCAAACATAGGCTCCCATTTTTTTTTTTTTATGCGCAGAACTCCTCATGTTGCTCTGAGAAAAATAATGCTGTTTGCAGTTCTTATTTGAGCATACGTTTTGTCTCTTCCTGAGCATACGCTTGACCAAATGCTTTAGCCGCTGTGCATTGCACTAAATCCCAGGACACCGTTTCATTGCTGGCACTCAGATGCTATCTTTACAAAGGATGCATGCTAATTTATGGGATCAGTGTGAGCTCTCTTTGCCATTTCCCATTGGTGTGCTAAGTGTTCTGATCATGCAAAGTGTGTTCACTGCATCCTGCGGACACGTCTCCACTTCTTCTCAAGCATGGCATTGAGTCAAGATTGATATACCTGCAGTTGTCAATTCAGCGAGAGCTGCAGTCATTACATGTCTGACAATTTTGACAAGAGTTTGCACACAACAGCTCGTGCTACAATTACATTGAGCCGCGACGTTCTATATCGTGGCAGTGAAGTTACATTTTCTGCAGCAGAGCAGTGATAATGGTTGAAGGCTAAGTGTGAAAATGTTCTAGAACATTCAGTGATAAATAAGGCAGGCAAAAACAGTCCAGGGGTTTTCAAGATGGCTGCACCAATGCAAGACATGTTGTTACATGCTGTGTGACCTAAAAAAAAAAAAAGGCATGAATAATTCAACGTTTTGTCCACGTGAAAGATGGATGTGCTAAGCCAACTGCAGTCCCAAACAGAAGAAAAATGCAAAGGTGACGCAAAGGCTACACGGGTTTTCCTGATTTCAATGCTCGAAGCTATTCAAGTTGCCTTCAAAGAATTTTGAGCAAGTGCTCATTACTGTATGATCTGTCCATGGTGCTGAAATTGGGTACGCTTACCTCGCTGCAGATAAATCATTCTTAAATAATGAAAACATCACCAGACCCACGGTTTTATCCTACATATCACATTGTACTATTTAAGTAAAATCTATAAAATACACGAAGTCTATCCGTTTTTCTTCTCCTTCCAATTCTGCAGCAGGACATTCGATTGTGACTGAGAGATCACACAGTGCCCACTGCTGGACAGTGTCAACTCTTCACAACGACATGTTCCTGACAAGCCATGAAGGTCAGAAACCTACGGAGAGGAAATAAATACACCAAGAACGCCCCTAAACAAGTGCAAAGGAAAACTGTACGTTCCTTTGTTGACGATTCAAATGTTTTTTATGGCACTCAAAACAAATCACAAAAAATCTGTAACATAAGCAACCCCACTTATCCATCAGGAGAACACACTGGGTGACAGCAATCTGTCCTTTATCTCAGTATCATGTTGAGCTTTGCTGCAGTCCCAAGCAGGCTTTAAACACACACACACGCACACACACACACACACACACACACACACACACACACACACACACACACACACACACACACACACAGAGCTGGTTTCAGTCCCCATCCCTCGCAGCAGCAATGATGAGGCAGGCAGCTGCGCTCAGGATGTAAGGGGGATACTGCAGCACCAGAGAACCGTGTGCACAGAAACTTGCCTAGAAGCATCGGGGAGTCCCACACTTCCCTTCCACCCACCATAGCACCCCCCTCCCCTCCAACCAAACACACACGCACACACAAACACACACCCACACACACACACACACACACACACGCACACACACGTTTGCCTCCCCCCCCCCGCTTCTCTACAATGACTTTATTCTGAAAATGTCAAGTGTTGTTTTTAAAACACCCACCCATCCAGCAGCAAACTGAATCAGAAAAAGAAGTTTAAAAAGTCTGAGAGCATGCTGTCATCAAGAAAAAGCAACGCAGCCGCTTACCTTCTAATGTTGCTTGCTTTCCGCCGGACACGGAGCTCTTCTCCGCAGACAGCAAGACACTTTGAGATAGAGAGAAAAACAATGAATGTCCGCCTACTTTCTCTTTTGTCCACTTTGACAGAACGAGTCTTTAACACAGCCTAATAGACACACCTTTGCTACGCCCTGCCGTTAACTACACACACGCATACACACAGAGTGTACCCCGAGATCGGAGTACCCTAATTGATAAAGATCTGCTCAGGGGAAGGATACAAACTACTCACACTCACACACTGCAGTTTTTTTTTCTTCCTCTTGCCCACTCGCTCTGCTGATTTTTCCCCCCTTGCTGTCTTTGCCTGCACTGCGTCCTGATTGGCCAAGCTGCTCTTCAATAACATAAGCTCTGTTCATTAGTTGGAAAAGGGGCACCTCCCGCCCAACTCATCTCTCCAACCCCCCGCCCCCTTTTTTCCCTTCGAGCATGTGGAGAAGAATGCTGAGCTCTTCAATTTTATGCGCATAGAGCAAAGAAGAAAGGAATGGAGGGCAAGTGGGGTGGGGGCTGGACGGCTGGGAGAGGCAAAGCGGTGGGACTTTAAGGAGTGGTGGGGTGACGGGATGGAGGCTGAACGAGTGGGCTGCGACGGGACAAGCCAACGCAGCGTGCGGGACAAAGAGATGCTAGAGTTGGATGTCGAGCGGCACCAGCCGCAGCATGTGGAGGGAGATTTCCCAGAGCTCACTGCAGCTCTAAACTCTGCTGCAGTGTGCAGCCTGATTGCCAGGCGGGCGGGGTGGAGGTTCTCTGTGCGCTCACGGGGTGGGGGAGGTCGTCTGCAGTAATGCCGAAATAGTCATCCAGTCAGCTTGGCTGTCTACGGTGGGTTGAGACGGGGAGCCAGTGTGTTCAGCACTTAATGTTTTCTCCCTTTGAATTATTGAAGGTGCCCCACAGCAGAGTGGGCGTGGCGCAGCCGGCAAAGTACCCCTTCTCACAATCACACATCAAATGATCATCTAAGATAATTTCACATTATTCGTTGGACCCTCTTGACTTGTCCTACTAAAAAAATCTCACACTGCGTGCACAGTCCGCTCTCGGGTGCACAATGGGGGTGAAATGAATGTTCAGAGAACTCATCCCGAGTGCCCGCCCCTTTTTCTTGACTCGCATCTGGTACCGCCATTGTGTCCCAGCAGCATTAAAGTACAATGCTCAGGGAGATCAATAATGGATCATACTTCAACCATCTGCAGCAGCGTCAATGAGCACTTAAATGATGCCCACACAGTCATGTGGATGAGATGTTTGTTCAATGAACAAAAGGTAAAACCTGGTCAATCAATGTGCAAATAAAGAGATACCTGATATATGGCCCCAGAGCGGATTTGTGGAAAAACAAAACATCACTGGAGCACAAAGCTACTGCAGATATGAATTACACATTTCATGAGCACATCATTAGGTAAAGAGCTTTACATGAAAAAAAGTTCCGATACTCCCCTTATTCAACTGTTGCCAGATAAATTAGGCGGCAAATAAAACACTGAGAATCAGAATCAGATTCATCTTTAGGAGGATGCTAGCTAAGCTAACAGCTATGATAGACAGACCCTCCCACCCCCTCCAGGCCACCTTTACAGCACCGGGCAGCTCGTTCAGGCAGAGACTGATTCACTCGCGCTGCAAGGAGAGGTACCGCCGCACGTTCCTGCCGACTGCTGTCAGGCTATTGAATAGACAGACCTGAAAACCTGGACTCAGCCCACTCACCCATTTTTTATTATGCTTACATTTATATTTTTATATTTATATTTACTTGTATACTTTTTGTTCTTCTACTTCTCCCTTTCATATTTTTTGCTACTGTAAATTGGGGATTTCTCCATTGTGAGACAAATAAAGGTTTTCTTAACCTATCTTATCTTATCTTTATTGGCCAATTATGTAGAACAAACAAGGAATTTGTCCCCGGTAATACAGGCTACACTAGTATTTTCAATAACAAGCAACTACTGTCAACAAGGACATGTCAAATAAGTATCGAAAGACCTTCCGTAATGTAAGGGTACGTACCACCCAATGACAGTTGTGAGACAAATGTGCAAAGTATTGAGGAGAGATAAATTTGCTGGTCCCTCTCTTTGGAATGACCTCCCACTGAACATTCGGCAAGCCCCCTCGCTGCCCATCTTTAAAACTTGTCTCAAAACTAATTTGTATTCTTTGGCATTTGACTCAGCATGACTCAGATTTGATCTTCGTTTGACTGTTTTTGTGCTTTCTACCGTCTTCGTTTTTCATTTATTGTTTTATTGTTTATTGTTGTATGTATGATATTTGCTCCATGTACAGCAATTTGTATACAGCAGTGGTTGTTTCAAAGTGCTCTCTGAATACAGTTGAGTTGACATAAAGTGATCAGTGGTGCAATACAGTAAGTACTATGACGGTTGTGCAGTTGGTGCAGATAATGGTTGCAAAATTTTTAAAGCGGGCGCTTGGAAGTGAATGATGAAGACTGCCCCTCGTTCACTTCAAAGAGAAGGCAAGGAGAGCTGTTTCGTTTACGATCGACACATCACTTATTTGAGACTGCCTCACAAGGGACAGTTGTGTTTCACAAAGCGCAAGAGAGAAATAGAAAAAGAGGCTCTCACAAGGAATATAATTGGCACTTGTGATGGTGTACCTAATCAGTGTTCGTGAGTGGTAGACTGGTTAGCACGCCGGCTTCACAGTGCAGAGTTCCTGGGTTCGATTCCGCGCCCAGGCCTTCCTGTGTGCAGTTTGCATGTTCTCTCCATGCCTGCGTGCGTTTTCGCTGGGTACTCCAGTAGGTTGAGTGAATGCTTAAATTGTCCCTGGTGTGATTGTGAGCGCGAATGGTTGTTCGTCTGTATGCCTTGCGATGGGCTGGCATCCAGCTTGGGGTTGACCTGTCTAATGCCTGAAGACAGCTGGGATAGGCACCAGCATGCCCGCAACCTTCGTGAGGATAAGCGGCTCGGACAATGGATGGATGGATGAATGTTGAGTTATAATGTAGTTGTACAGTTTTACTGGAATTTAAAGGCATTTCGTGACCAGACTTTAAGAGGCCATACCACAAAAAAGCGTTCCCCCAAACATCGTTACCCACACACCCACACACACAAAAAGCTCACCTTCTTTGGAACACGTCATCTTATTTCACAATTCTTGGTGTGATATTATATTAAATAGAGTATGCATATGGTTAGGTAATGTGTGCTGTATGTTGTATGTTGTATGTTGTCTGTTTAAGAGGGAGGAAATCTCATCAGGTTGAGTGAATGCTTAAATTGTCCCTGGTGTGATTGTGAGCGCGAATGGTTGTTCGTCTGTATGCCTTGCGATGGGCTGGCATCCAGCTTGGGGTTGACCTGTCTAATGCCTGAAGACAGCTGGGATAGGCACCAGCATGCCCGCAACCTTCGTGAGGATAAGCGGCTCGGACAATGGATGGATGGATGAATGTTGAGTTATAATGTAGTTGTACAGTTTTACTGGAATTTAAAGGCATTTCGTGACCAGACTTTAAGAGGCCATACCACAAAAAAGCGTTCCCCCAAACATCGTTACCCACACACCCACACACACAAAAAGCTCACCTTCTTTGGAACACGTCATCTTATTTCACAATTCTTGGTGTGTTGTACTGAGGTTGAAGTGGCCCTTCCAACCAGACTTTGCATTGTAACTGATTTTTAGGTCATTTTTAGGGAACTCTTATCACATTGCTATTTTTATGTAACATGACCTCTCGCAGTATGCAACACTATGTGAAGTGCTTGTATGTTACACATACAGCACATTTGACAATAAAGTGGTACTTGATACCTGATACTTAATATGGACGTAATATATGCATATTTTACATGCAAAATGCATACTCTTAACAGAGTATATTTTATTTTAGATCATACATTTTTCAGCGCATTATTAAAAGATCCCCTGTCCTAACGCAACAACAAATGGTTTGAAGCAAACAACAAAATAACCACATACTGTAATTTTTTTTTCACCCAGTGCAAAGGGCTCTCTTGCATGAAAATTACCATTCAATGACATCACTTAACTGCGGAACAAGAAACCGACATTAAATACAAGAGCTCATTTTGTCCATATTTTTTCACCCCAAAAATTGTATCATTGAGGTACTACATCTTCGTGTCTATCATTTCAAATCCGCAAAAAAATATTAGGCCTAATCACCTTGTAACATAAGGCAGTATAAGACCCAGTATGAATGCAACAAATACGTGTCTGCCATCTAGTGGTGATTAGTAATATCACAACTTAAAACTACAGTCGACGCCTGTGTATTTGCAGGATAATAATAATAATAATAATAATAATAATAATAATAATAATAAGTATTATTGATTATTGTTGTTGTTTAATAAAGGGGCCACTCTGGATGTGGTCATGGGCTGCATGCGGTCCGTGGATCGACAGTTTCTCATCCCGAGACGATATTGTGTCAGCCTTCATATGGTAGCACTTGAAATGCATTATTTTTCATGTTTGTGCACACTGAACAAAATGCATTTATTTAAAGGGAGCATGTAGTGTCTTGCAGGAATCCTGCTGTGTTTCCCAGAAACAGGATCACGGTGCAAGTAAATCTCGCAGTAAATGTGTAACTTCCAACTGTGATGATGTCATTTCAACTTTCCATTCATGGTGCTTTACTGTCACATGTTCTCATGCATTAGCCAATCAAAATGAATGGGTTGGTTCCTACAGAGGACGGCCGAACTTTCAGTTTCGAAATGTCTCATCAGTCCAACATGTGAGAGGCAGGACCCATTTAACTGCGTGCGCGTGTACAGTGATGCTGATAAGGCGTGGAAGAATTTAAAGGTAGGTCACCTGTGTCACCCCCTCCCATTTTAACTCCCTTCTGATTTTAGGGTTTGTTTGTTTCAAGTCACGTGCACTCCAGCTATAAATACACTTGAATGCCTTCTCTTTCATTAAAGCTGGCAAATGTGTCTTACTCTTCAAACTTCTTCAGCCAGATGACAACAATTAGATGATGGCTCTTGAGGCAGCTGGTGAGTTTTTATTTTCTATGTATATGTTTATTTTTCTATTTACATGCCAGTAATACATGGTGAAATTTGATTTTGTATAATTTGTAGTCTGATATTTGTATATTATTTCCAAAAATATTTATTTAGCCATTGCATGAATTCCACTTTCTGTTTTTGCTTTCTGTTTATGTTTGTTCCTGCCTCTTTTTTTTTTTTTTAAATCTCAATGGAATGTTTCATGGTTAAATAAAGGCAAAAAAAGAATGATTTTTCAAGAGTGTCAACCAGGTAGCATATAAGGTAACGAAAGAACAAACAAGGCGACATGCTTGGGGTCGCCAGATAGTAATTCCATTATTCACTCCCAGATCAATGCACCAGCTTGCAAAATTCACAGTAGACAGCTGCGGGGTCCTTTCAAACTGCAAAAGATGTCAGCTGAGGCTTTTGTCATCGCATTGCTGTAATTAGTGCAAATTAGATTATTCTCATAACTTGCCTTTGGTTAGTTATATGGGTTGCGGTGATCTAGTTGAACATTGTGCAACATTTGTTGACAGTACTCTATTAGACATACTTGCCAAAGAGTAGAAAATTCACTGACTACAAATTTGAAAGAATCTGTCACTTTGCTATGACTTCCAGCCTGGGATCTTGATATGTTGTTGGATTACCTCCTTTATGGTTCAGTAGCTCGCATCCAGTTTAAGCGAACAGGAGCCTATAATGTATTTATGGTCTTGAAGGAAAAAATAAATGTTTTTCACTTTCTTCATATATTCTTATTTTTAATTTGTACTTTTGTGATGAAACCTTTCTGAAGTGAAACCTTATGAGTTGTATCCAAATCATTTGTGGCACCATGCATCTAATCTTATCTTTCAGATGTTGAGCCAAAGATGTCGCAAAGATGTGGTTTCAGGTGCCTCGGTCCTCTGACGTTCCATCGGGCCGTAGGAGACGCGGTCCACCTGAGTCAGGGATGTTGCCATGCAAAGAGGTCCAACGCCACCTTCAGAAACGGCCTTTTGTTCAGCAATCGGCCCGTGAGGGTCCAGGAACGGGTTCGGCTGCGGGTCAAGGAAGATTCTGCCTGCTGGCACGGAGCCATGCGAGTGGGCTTCACCAGCGTTTCTCCAGATTCCCGATCTCTGCCCCTGCCCAGCATGGCCATCCCTGAAATCCCCAGCCACCGGGAAATCCTCAACCACTGGGCCGCCCCCGTGCATGAGGAGTTCTGCAAGGCAGGATCACAGCTGGAGTTTTGGGTGTCCAGCTCAGGCAGCTTGTATGTGTCCAACCAGAACGGCTGCAAGCGTAAGCTCTTAGTAGGAGTGCCGCTCAAGCAGACTCTATGGGCCATGGTTGACCTTTATGGGCAGACACGCTCCGTTCTTCTCTTGGGTAGGTTCATGGTGGCCAGGCACCTTAAATCTAACACCCAGAAACCAATCACTGGAGGTTATGACACGCATAGCAATTATACAGTATAGCTTTGATACATATTACATGATCAAGCAGAAATAATTGATCAGGATTTCTGGGTGGCCTGGGCCCCGAAACCCACTTCAAGTGATCCCTCGCTGGACTGAGCTGCAGCAGAATAACACCTCCATATTCAGAACCAAAACAAGAGCAATCTGTACTAAGATAACCTTGACACAGAATAGAAAATGTCACAAACATTGACGATTCAGGCTATTGGCTACTGTAATTGAATTAGCGCTATTCATTGGGGTGTAGTTACCATTTTAGTTGTATGCATGTTTTGCAATTCTAGAAAATTTCTGGAAAGCAGAAAAAAATTGTAAATTTTACAACACGCTGTCAGACCACAAATAGTCCCTAAGACCATAATATGGACACACCTGGTGTAGCTGTTTCATCTTATTCAAAACAACCCCCTCCCTTTTTTGCTACAGGCTCAAAGATAGGAACGAGGCTTTTCACCCGGAGGTCATGTCAGAGTCTCCTCTCGCCTGTTTCTGACACAGCCTCCTTGACATCTGATGATTCTTCCGATCTCAACCTGCTGCTGCAATCAGGTGCGAAGTCTGTCCAGAAGCGATCGGCGCGATTGTACCGCTAACTGTGACGAACATCTTTTCATGATACTTCCTCTTTCTTGATGACAGATGGAGAAGAAACGATATGTGTGGTGTGCATGGCTCAGGAAGCCGACATCAGTCTGCCTTGTGGCCACCGCTGTATGTGTCGCCCGTGTGCTATCGGGGTCTTGAAACATTCTGGGAGGTGCCCCCTGTGCAGGCAGAGAATGAAGTCATCACCGGAGGCTTGAGAGGTTGCTGCTGACAGACGACGACAATCTGTCAGGGCACCTTCTTGTTCTGTAAATCTGAATCTTGTAGCACTTGTAATTTGATGTTGTACTTCTAGGTGAAGAAAATACACTTTTATTTTGATTCATAATAAAATGTATAGGTTATCCATTGTTATTTTGCTTGCTTGGATTTTGTTTTTATATGGAAGGCGGAGCTTTGTTTGGAGGGTTCATTCTTGTTTACGCAATCGTTTTTATATCAACTATCGAATAAAAATGCATGTATTATGTGAAACACCAAATAAAGCTGCAGCTGAAGACCTTCATTGGGATATTTATCATTGTGACATGAACAGTGAGTAACAGCACAGCGGAACCTTCATGGTTGAACAGTATCTGTTCAGGGACACTCTTGGATGTCAAGTTTAGGCAGATTGCAAAAGCAGTTATTCCCTCATAAAAAAACCTACCAGAAATTGGGTTCATCTTTTCATAGAGCTAAAGTGCAATTTGCATAAGATTATACTGTAGGTCAGTGGTTCTTAACCTTGTTTGAGGTACCGAACCTAACCTGTTCATATGCACATTCACTGAACCCTTCATTCGCGAAAAATAAAAATATGATTTTTTGGGGGGACAAATTGAAGAAATTAAAAAAACGCATTTATTAAAAACAGAACCCGCCCCCCCAAAAAAAAAGAAATAAAAAATTCAAGACATAAGTATACGTTTTTTTTAATTGTGCACAAAATGAACCAGCCAGTGATGGCCAAGTGGGCGTGTCATAACAAATTGGCATGTCGGGTGTGTCTTAATCTCCATGGCAGAGGCCCCGTCAAACCCCAGAGACCGATTTACCGAACCCAGGTTAAGAACCACTGTTATAGGTCATGTTTGCAGGAAGACTTTAACAATCGTAATAGAACTACAATGTGACAAGACTTCAGTTGTCTGCTGTAAATTTGATGGCTGAATAATATAATCCTTCCAAATCTCACTAGATGCTGTGGAATGACAATGGTGTAAGTATGCCAAAGATTCCCATGACATTTGTTTCAACATTCAAAAAGAATTTAACCTCTCTATAACACCAAATCAATTAAAAGTGGGACGTCAAACTCATCGTTGTCGCGGGCCAATTTGGAGTTACGTCTTCCCTCGGCGGGCCCTTATGACAGTGAAACCACAAAAAGGTTGAATTGTCGCATCGCATTATTACTTGTTCACAACAAATTGACGGATTACCAGTTTAAACTATAACTATAATAGTTTGTTCAAGTACTGTTACAGTGACTGTCAACAGGCTAACAAAATGATTGCAAAATCTCAACGTAATTTATTATACGTGACAATTTGAGCCTTCGGTACAGATTTTAGCAAGGACGATGCAAATTGACACACATGATTTGCTTTCGCGGGCCACATAAAATGCCACGGCCTTTTGAGTTTCATACCCGTAAAGTAAAGACTTTGATAACTTACCAGCCATGTGATAGTTTTCCAGAGACAACACATACCGGTAATTTGAAATGTTTTGGGCTAAATTGAGATTGTGATTGGACCTCCAGTGTTTCTGTGACTTTTTTTTTTTAACTGAATTGCAAATTGTAGGATCATTGCCACGTTTGACTTGGCAATGAAAATGTTTTATTTCAGTTTAAAGGTCTCGCATATATTACAAATGTTCGTGCACAAAGCGAGTAAAAGGGTACTTTTCAGTTTCATTCTGATGGAGTAAGGCCACAATCGAAGAGCAAATGATTGACAAGGTAAGGCATACACAAATGGATGAAAAACAAACAATCTCATTCTTAAATTTTGTCTTAACTGTCCTCAGCTAAGGAGGCCCCAAAATGCAAAATACAAAAAACAAATAACAACTAAACAATAACAAAAAATAAATACAACTTGAAATGAAAAAACAAAAACAAAGACAAAAGCTTAACTCAATTTGAAAATGCAAAAACAAATAGCCTCAAAAAAAAACTAAACGTAGCTGTAAATGAAAAACAAAAACACTAACTAAACAAAAGAATTTAAAAATTAATTTCAACCCCCCCCCCAGCCCCCCTCCCCCCCAAAAAATTATGACACACCCTGAAGCCGTGGCACCCTTAGCATTCACCTGGCTAAACCAAAGATGTGCTTATGTTAAATCTCAGTTCAGGCAGGGAGTTGGGGGGACTTCTGAAGGTCTGTGAATTTGTTATTGTTTGAAATACAACTGAGTGGCCTTGGTGGATGTCTGCGCTCTGTTGTTTTATTGAGATGTTATCAAGATGGATGTGTAAAACACACTCCATCTCTACTTATCATTGTGCCATAAACTTTAATCACCATCTAATGTAAGTTTATGTCAGTCCATCAAAATAACAGGTGCTAATAAAACATGAGATTGACAAAGTCAAAGTAACACCATCAGCTGCTTTGTTTATTGATTGACTGACTTCAACATGGCGAAGACTTGAATAAAAATAAAATGGATGCAGTTTAAGAAAGAAAATGTACACGATGTGCAACAACGGTTGTCAGGAAATGCGATGTTTATGTCGCCGTGGCAAACATGCCTTTTTGGTTGTACATGCACGCATTAAATGATTTTCAAACCTCAAGTTTTATTTCTCCTTGTGTAAATGCCTCTCTATGGTCACTGGAAAAATGAATTAACAAGTTGATCAAGATGTTTTCCAGGGGAACTTGAGGGAGGCCATCTGTGCAAAAGTGGAAGCTCAAAAGAGCATGGATGTTGCAAACCAACCAAAAGCAGAATGGCTTCAGAAGTGATAAATATATGCTCTGGAGTGGCCCACTCAAAGTCCAAACCTCAACCAAACTGATACACAGGAGCAGGACAAAAGAGCTATTCACCCAAGACCTCCCAGCAACCTTGCTTAAGTGCAACAGTTTTGTGGAGAGCAATGGTTCAAAATTCATTCGGATCATTGTGCACGTCTACTCTGCAACTACAGGAAACGAGTGTTTGGGGTAACTGCCGTCCAAGGAGGCAAGACAGGCAATTAAATCCGAGGGCTCACTTACTTTTTCCTCCCTGTCCTCCCAATGTTTACGTGTTACACTCTATAAAAACATGAAACTGTATTTATTTGCGTGGTATTAGTTTAAAAATGAAGACTGTTGGTTTATTCTTTGGATTTAGCATTCTATGCAACAGTTAAAAAAATCCCCACGGGTTCACATACTTTTTCCTCCCACTGTAAGACAGCTCAACAACAGATGCTCAACTGGTCTAATAGTGCAAAAAGGGCCATTTATGCTTTCATATCAGGGTCAACTACTGAAAAAATTCAAACACAAGTGTACGGCAAACCATTTCCAGGAATCATCTGTATGTGCTCTCCTTCATCACCAAGGTCTCAGCTCTGACAGGGAGGCTGTAGACTGTGACTGAAATATCGGCGGGCTCAAAGATCTCTTCCAGCATCTCTGAAACTCTTTCCCACTTCAGTCGATCCAGGCCACAGCCAATCCTGCCAGGGAGACACAAACATACTGCTGTTGCCAAACCAAACATCTTTAATGAGAATTGTTAGACATATTGCAAGATTGTGGGACGAATAAAGTTGATTTTATCTGGCCATAATACTCATCGTACTCATTGAATTTAGCGTACCAATGCCTCTAATTTATGAGAGATTATATCTAATTTTGTATGGGGGGGCGGGGATTCGAACCGAGGCATGGAAATTCGGGTGACTCCATTTTGGATACAGTGCGCTCTCATGTCCTCCAAGCTCTGTCTCAGGTTGTCGTAGGTTGGCTTTTGGCTCACCTTCTTCTTGGTGATCTAAAAATTGACAGCAGGAAAATAGAACAGCCACAGTATTTTTGATCCTCTAATGTGCAAGCATACACTTCTCCTTTCACCTATTTCATGGTTACCAGATAGTACACAAAACGTTTGCCTCTCTTCAGTACGGCACACTGTCCCACCAGCTTCTCTGGTTGGAGAAAGGAAAGATATTGTTAAAGGGGTGAGGAAGTATCTTCTTACAAAAAGACAAAAGCTGAGACAAATCCTTCCTAAATCCCCCTCAAGAGTACGCCCGTGTCTTATATAAATACAAGCTTGACTCACGCTGCCCCTTGAGCTCCTCGACCCCTCTGAATTTTTGCTTGAACGTGACGGCGATGCCTGCCCCCATGCGGCAGTCCTCACTTATGCAGTGGGCAAGAGCCTCGTCCGTGGGACAGGAGAACAGATCCCCGGTGACGTGTTTTATTCTCCATTTGCCGTTCCCCAGCTAACCAGAGAGGGTGACATTTCAGTTACAACTGCTTGTTTAAAAACATAACAATAATGCTCCGAAATGACTTAGCGTAAAAAGTATATAAGATAAGAGGCAATATTTACCTGCGTCGTGTCAGACATGCCTGGTTGAGCGGACATTTGGCCGTGAAACGTTGAACCGCTTGAAATACACGGGAGGCAGCGCGTGACCTAATGTTACTGATTTGTAGTGCAGTCACTCGCCACAAAGGCACAATTGTGTCATTCTTTAGCGGAGTGACATTCAAAAGGGATTTGTAACTTAGAAGCAGTGTTTGCCACCTCAAATGACAAGACATTTACACAATGTTTTGATTCGTTGTGAATAGTCTCGTTTTATATCGTTCTGTCTCGCGAGATTGAGCACGTTTAACCCCGCGTTTTAAAAATCACACACATACAGTATTTGATATAGTAGCTTAGCTTAGGGGTCCCCAAAAAGCCGGCACGAGAATCAGCTCGGACCTGAGGGTCATTTAAGTACTGGGCCGCAAAGAAAAGAAATGTCTCAGTTAAAAATTATAGTTGGTATTTTATACAGTCTTCCGAATATCTTATTTTGAAAAAAAAAAAAAAAATTCCGCTCTCACAGCGCGTCGTTGTTTTTGCCTCGGTCGAGCAAAGACCTAAACTTAAAACATTTGAACGAGCCAACGAATTAATTATGCGACAACAGAACCGTCACAGAATCCAAAACGAACGTGGGATTTGGAGAAAAAGAAAGTGCAATTTACGTTACGGATTCATTGAATTCAGCTAAATCCATCCATCCATTTTCCAATCCACTTCTCCTCACGAGGGTGGCGGGCATGGCTGGGGGCTATCCCAGCTGTCTTCGGGCAGCAGGGGGGGACAACCTGAATCGGTTGCCAGCAAATTACAGGGCACACACAGACGAACAACCATCCACACTTGGGGACAATTTAGAGTGCTCCATTAACCTGCCATGCATGTTTTTGGAATGTGGGAGGAAACCGGAGGACCCGGAGAAAACCCATGCAGCCACGGGGAAAACATGCAAACTCCACACAGGGAAGCCGGAGCCGGAATCAAACCCTGCACCTCTGCACTGTGAGGTTGACGCGCTAACCACTGAATCACCGGGCTGCCCTTGTCTCCTTCCCCTTTCCCTAATACCAGAACTAAACTACAGAAGAGGACGATGAGGTATAGTTAAAGATTAATCATAGCGTTTTCAGCATTATGCATCCATGGATATTATCGTGTACTGCTCCACTCGCACCACCCCAATCCCTAAATACTCTCCGAAGTGGTCGTGTAAAATGTATGTAAGTGATGCCTGGTTAAAACAAACAAAAAAAAAACCTTACTGATCGCTTACTAAGATACATTTGTAATCAAATATATTACTTTTTAATGTCATATGTACTTGTAACAGCTTGTTAAATCCAGTGGTAAGAGCGGGAAACTGGTTTGAGTAAGCTAGATCGCCATATTTGATACCTTGGCTTCTGTATGTGAAACTATTGAAGTAGTGTACACTATTTTGTTTGATTCTGACATGTAAATGTAAATCTTATGAGGACACCGAGGGTTATGGGGAATACAGTACCAGCAAATGCTAATTTCTTACTCTGGCAAAACAAGCCAACAGGGTTGAAGCAGAAGAAGAGACTTTCCCTTGTGGTCTGGCTGCCGGTGCATATTAAGAACACAGACTTGGAAAGGGACTCCAGCATCCATATGAATAAATGTAAACAAGCATTTGGCCACATGCTGCCGTTATAATGAAATTGTATAATTCGGGGGTCACCAAGCTTTTCGAAACGGAGAGCTACTTCTTGGCTCCTGACGAACATGTAATGCAACCAGTTTGATACATACACACTTCTGAAATAACATTTGCTCAAATTACCTTTAAATGTTATTAATAATTCATGATATTCATGTTATATGCAACACTTTATTTCTGTAAAACTCTGCTGGTGTTTCAAACGACCACTTCTACAAAATCCCTCGAAAATAATGTTCCATCACTGGTGAGCTATTTTTAGAAGAGGCCCGGGGGCTACTCATAATCTTGCTACCTGCTGCCTGCAGGCACCACAATGGCAACCCGTGGTAAACGTAACTTGTCAGCTTCACATCTAAGTCTGCACCAAGACAAATTAAATCCTAATTTATATATTATACAATATTGTATGTCTCTCTCTTGTCTTTCTAACTTCATATATGTAAAGACACACGCTATACTCGGTGTTGTACAGCAGCATTTACATTCATGCAAGCACAGGGAGATAAAGTAGGATTGCGTCATGTCACACTCACGCTGTGTGCGTGTGACAGACTGACAGTCCACTCTCCAGCATTTAGAAGTTCACACTACGTCTTCGCTCATTGATCCAGTCCCCAGGATTGACATCCATCTGCAGCATCTTCATCACCCACTTGTCCCTCCGTGCTCCATCGATGAACTCGTCCAGGGAGAGTTCGCCTACGAGTGTGCAACAACCACATGTACACGCAGGACATGAATCATGATTAGCAGCGAGCTTCTTCCAGGAACACTCCTTTAAGCCATTAGAGCGAACACTGAGCTCTTAAATCAACCACACGGTGTTTTAAGATGTCCGAACATTGGTACAAACACTCACCATCTCCATTTTCATCAACCAGCTCAAATATCCGATCCACTACTTGGTCTGGGGTCAAAAGATTGCATTCTTCATCCAGCTTCCCATGACAGGCTTTCTTCAGTCGATATATAGACTTGAGAGTGGCAGGACAGCATGATATTACAAATTGCCATTACATTGTTTCAGGAATCAAGAAGACAAGTGAAATGATGGATTACCTCCACAATTTCAAGAAGCTCTGTTTTATCAATGCACCCGCTCCCATCTTTATCATACATTTTGAACGTCCATTTCAATTTATGCTCCAATTTACCCCTAAGGACCAAGTTCAAAGCTGCAACGTACTCAAGAAAGTCAATGGTGTTGTCCTGTGTACATGAAACAAAACGTAAAAAAAACGCATCATCGATTTCATTTCCAATTTGCATGCGCAAGAGAGATTGGTACTTACACCATTCTTGTCGAAGGCCCGAAACATGCTTTCAATATAATCTGAAGCCTCCTTGTTATCAGCGACCCCGAAAAAACTCTTGAACTCGTGCATAAAAAGTGTTCCACTTGGGCATTCCACCACAAACTTTTTATACCATTCCTGCAACTCTGCCACATCTATTTCTTTGTCTGGGTCGCCGTCGTCACTGAGGCGCTGACCCATTGTGGGGAGATTTATCGCAGCACCCCGAAGACCGCAAGAATTACATTACAGCATACGCTTTGGCCCGACTCCTAATACACTGTTTGTGAAGCTGTCAATTCAAACGATGTGAAATTACAGGCCAGCTGCATCGGTGTAACTTTGTCTCGTGGTAGAATCCCATCTGAATGACGGGATGAGACAAAGATTGTTATGGCCCTCAGGAGGGGATTACAAATGTTCACCTGTCAAAATCAATCAGTTCACAGACACATCATGAGAGGATTGTCATTCAGCACTGCTTCATACCCGCAGTAGGCTACGCATCGTTGCGACAATATACATTAGCTCCCTTCCCCTGTGTTCTCATTACGTTTATTGCAAACTTGACTTTGATATCAGAGGCTACCTATCAAATCTGTGGCAGAAGTGCACGTCAGTGCAGAGAGTTGGGCAATGTCATGGAATCATTTTCTAAATCTGTCTTCGAAATCCTTGAAATAGAAAAATGCAGACATGCATTCAAAAATCTGTTAATGAAGCTTCTCTTCTCTTCAGTAATCTTTGCCAAGGTGGAGGGCTCTTGACCCAGGTTTCACTTTGCCCATTAGCTGTGACCTTCACGTGTCTGGTTATTTCACTTGAGCATCTACATGTCTGCGCAGGTCTCTGACAGAATTGAAGTTTTTACATCTTTCTAAAATTGCATTGACATGAACTATAGAAGATTTGGATCGGAAAGCCTGCATGTTTGTAGCCAGCTGCGAACAAGCATAACCTCGCAAAGCACTTTAAGAAAAGTACTCCAAAGCAACTCAAATATCACAATATTATACTGCACATGCAGTGGCGGACCCTCAGGGCCAGCAAGGCCTTCTCTGCTGGCCTAAACATTCTCAGAAAACTTTTCTGAGAATAACATAAATTTGTTATTTTATTTTCATAATATGTAAACAAAATTATTCTCTGTATTCTTTACGGCATATTATTTCCACTGAGTCGAGTGGCCTTCAATGTTATTTTAAATAACATTGAAAGCCACTCGATAAATAACTTATTTATTATGGTAGAGTTTTTAACCAATCATATTTCAGCTAGCTTGTGTTGCCAGGTAAATTAAACTTGCTCGGGGCCTTCAGATTAAACAGCAGGCCCCTGTTCGCTGTAAATGAACGGACACAGTCAGGTTTCAATAGCCAATCAGATCACGAGTCTCAGACTCGTGATCTGTAT